ATTTCTTTACAAAACATTAGAGAATATAAATAAGGTTTCTAATATATTGAATTGTGTTGTATGTTTAATATATATTCTTACGCTATAATCTGTATAGATTTCAAACGATTCTGATAATACTTACTATCTTGCGCCTATAAATACTACTAAAAAATGAAAAGAGTCTTCTCATTTTACTTAATGAAGGCCACCGTTTCATTGCGACATAGTAGTTGATGGAAATATATTCTATAAATAAAACTGTTTCACAGAATATTGAAGATATTGAATAATTCAAATTATCTATTAAGACCAAGTTCATTTTTTTTTATGTTAGTAGCACGGAGCTGTACTACGACGAAGGACTTAAGCGCAAACTGTTAGCCTAACATCGGCTATTTTAGCAATTATACGCTTGTGTGCTCTGCAATAGCACTAATGTAGAAGTATCGGCAAAACACAACTAATATTATTGAAAAAGGGCTCTAAGCAGTTTTATAAGAATTTCTTTTGTAACTTTAGCTAAGCTTCTATGAACCCATACTTATGTGAACATACTCTAAAGTCACCAGACGCATACGATTCTGCATATACAGAGAATTACGAATATGTATGTGATACTGTTCTCTTAACTAGAGTATTGATTCTGTATTATCTGCATGAGTCGAACTGTATTAGGGAAATTCGCAATGCTGTTATTGCATGTGAAAAATACAAGATTTTTGTAATTTATTATTACTATATTGAGGCTAGTTGAAGCAGTGCACTTGAGCACTTTTACTCTCTATTAACTTGACTGGATTATTGTTTATCACTTCATTAGACTAAGCAATAATTGACCTCAGATCTGCATACCTCCCCAAGGAGCCTGTAACCATTCTGAGATTTGATAACGCGGTACTAGTAAGCCTTTCAATTTTTGTAAGTTTATTAATTGTAATAATTGAATATATATTAATATATATATTGATTTTAAATTCAAGTTAACACAAAAGGAAACCGTGAGACTTACAACATGGGAAAGAAGAAAAAAGTTCAAAACAGTCAGCATTGGGTTGCATATCAATAGATAAAAGGGATATAAATCCCTTTTGGAACAAATTGACGTATTTCAAGATCTCCAAATTTTGACCAACTCCTCGAGAAATTTAAAACCTTCTCGTTTGATTCAATATTACTATTTGTTCTTTTGAGTATGCAGCATATTCCTCTTGCTGCTAAAATTTGACTTGAATAAGTCATTTCTATGGAGGAAGGGGAAAGCTTTTTAAAACCGCCAGATGTGTTAGACTCTGCGTATATATAAGTTTATTAAAATGTGAAGCACTTAGTTTATTTTGCACTTAGTTAGTTATTTAGTTATTTTTACTAAATAATGTGGCACTTTGCAAAACACATTTTAATTGAATTTAAAAACTAAAATATTTTGCCGATTTAACATGAAATTTTTATGAATTATTTGATAATAAAATATTGCAGGAGCTTTAGAAAATTAGCAAAGTTTCGGAAAGCAACAAAAAAAGCCATACATACAACATACAATGAAAAGTGTTTTTGCTGCATCAGCGATGAGCATGTGCGCTTCCATTTATTAAAATTACTTATACGCACCGTGGTACCAGGCAAATGAAACGAATGCAATTCCATTTTGTGGGTCTTTGGTAAAAGGCAATTTCGCAGCTTTCAATTTTATGATAATGTAAAATTTTATACCGAACGAATTTTCATAATCAAAAGTTACTTTATTATGCCTGCATTCGCTGTATTATACATTGAACGTGCTGATTATATTTGCCGTACGGATATTAAAATAAAAGGAAAACATTCAATGTGAGGCCAACATTTTCCACCCAATTTCAAAAGTATTTCAACGGAATTTCAACCGAAAATGAACACAATTTTAACGAAATCTGAAAGGTATATTGTAAAATTTTGTTGCAATTTCTGTTTGGTTTATTAGAAAAATTTTGATATTTTTATTTAATTTTTTTTTGCTCTTGTTTTTTGTTGTTTTTCGTGATTCGTTACATTTTAAATTTTTTGCTATAAGCAATTTTTTGTATATTTATATTTGTTCATTTATGTTTTTTCATGGATCACCTTTGTTACGCGAATATGCACTTTTAAGGATATTTGTGTAAACTTCGGCGTTATTCATTTGAAACAATTTTCCTGCCAACTTTTTGCCATGCATCCAAAATCCTATTTGTGCCGATTACATTTTTATGCAGAAAGCTTGTTAGTTGCAGGATTTAGGCTAAGCTCCTCTAGCATTTTTAGTCAGTATTTATAAATATAGGTATTGTATATGCTCCATGCTCCACACTCCACACTCCACGCTCCATTTGTTATTGTTGTTGTTGTTGTTGTTGTGGTTGAAATGTTTTGTATTAAAAGCACTGTCGAGTGCTCGCATTTCGATGTGAGTACTTTTTTTTTTTTACCAACTTTTGACTTATTTCACAAAAGTTTCACACGTTTTGTATCTTTTGCATTTTTATTTGCAGTGCCTTTTCTACTACAAATTGTTTGGTCTACTTCGCATCATGCTTAGAAAACTCTTTTGAACTTCTTATTGGATTTTCTTGTGCTGTTAGATATTACTTTTCTTCTCAATCCAAATGTAACATTTAAAACAGCATTTTAAAAAAATAACTGTAGAAGTTCAGTGCTTTGATTTTTCTACAATTTTCACGCCAAAACTTTTCTAAATGGCGACACAAATGGCTGAAAATGAAACAAGATTTGTATTGGTGAATACGAGTATTTGCTTATAAGTCTGAGTGTGCTTATTTCTAAGGACTCATCCTTCTCTACATTCATTATTATTGTTTGTTTGTGTATTTAAGAACCAGATTATCTTGCTTAATGGCAGCAATTTGCTTCGAGTTTGACATATGCAGAAATGTGATTTTGCAGCAAACTTTTGTGCGGTTATCCGCGTTGAACAGTGCAATTTTCGCTAATGGAAATTCAGCATTTGGCAGAGCTTTCCATTGCCAATTTTAATAAATTTTAAAAATTTGAAAATTTCCAAATTTTCAAATTTGTTTTTCTTAATATTGTCAATTCCTTCATTTATCAGATGATGTGAACAATGCTATCATTTTTTTATGAAAATATTATTTATAAATTAGTAAATAGTATGATATTCGAGTATTTTAAGCAAATGTAAGTAAAAATTTTTATTAAAATTTTTTTAACACAATTTTATTCAAGATATTATAAAAAATAATAATATAAAGTCTCACGGTTTATTGTCATTATCAACATTATTTTTCATTATCTGAAACTTTATTAGTATACTAACTATTATTTCCTTGACTTAGTTAAAACTTAAATTGCTGACAACATTTGTCGTTCTTATATAGATCAAAAGGCAGAAATAAGTTCCCTACATCTATCTCAATAAACAAGGAGTATTGTAAGTTACTGATCGTTATATTCCTTTTCAGGAAATATTGAAGTTTCTTCGTTTTCTAGAATTCTGCGTTTATAATTACACTGCCATTTTGAGAATATTATTTTATTTTCGAATTATATGCCCGATCCCTCTTCAACTTCTATGTTTAAATCGGTTTAAATGAATCAATTTTCTTTGTGTTAATATTAGTAGATCTTCATTACTTATTGCATTTGACCAGAGTACATCACATATTCATCTTAGAGAATAGTTGACAAAGGTGCACTGTTTCCTGGTAATATATCCGGTAAACTTACATGGTTTGTTGTCATACTTTATGTTAGTATTCGATATTTATAATTTTGTTTAATTAAGTTTTGTTTATTAAATTTTGATTATTAAATTTGTTGAAAGGTTAGTGCTCTATTTATTCTGTTTAAAACATTCCGACCAGCTCCGTCATTCTTCGATATAATACAATGAATGTAGTATGTAGAATGTATTGGAACTATTAAACATTTTCTATCATAACATTTTTCTCTTTAGTATTTAGCTTTAAACCATTTTATACGATTTATAATTAGTTGCCACTATTTTTATGTCGTTTATAATTTATTTAGTAAAAAAAGTGACAAATTATGTTTATATTAGTATAATATTAAATTCTCTGCGCGAACACAATTTTTTTACAAACACAAATTTAACAAAAACCGTAACAAAAAATGTACAGCTTTAAATACTGAATTAAGCTTTACCCCATATCTGTTCTTTGGCTTCAGACGGCGTGTACATATCCTAATAAGATATGAGGCCCTATCATCAGTAGAAGAACAAACATAAAAGGATTTTGATAGCAAATATTTCTTAATACCACTGTTGATGAGTACTTGGCAATACTCGGAACAGCGTTGTATGGTCAGCCAAAAATTCAATTAATTAAAATAATATAAAAAAGTTTTTTGTTGTTGTACTACATTACTCTCTCTCTCTCTCTCTCTCTCTCTCTCTCTCCCCCCTCTCTCTCTCTCTCTTAATTTAAACCTTTAAGCAAAGGTAAATTATGACAAAAAAAAAGAATTTGTTTAATTAATTTTATATATGGCCGGTTGGCCAATGAAGCAAGTGATATTGTTGAAATAGTGTCTCGTATATTTAGCCGATTAGTGAAATGAGTAAACGATATATGATTATATGCGGTATTATAAAAGAAACGTGAGATTTTAAAGGAAACGAAGCCAAAGACAATTTAAACAAATGAGTCAAACTCTTTTTATTTGATAGATAATTTTTTTGCATTATTAACGAAAAATATTGTAATTATCAATTAACCGTTAAAACTGCAATCTAGAGCTCCACCTTATCTATAATGATTTAGATATTATATATTGGACTGTATTTTACGTTAGTTAAATTCCTTTCAAACCACGAATTTTTATTTACTTGTCGGTCTAGGCCAATAAGTTCGATTATTTCCACGTACACTTGCCATAATAACTCAGTGTTATCATTGATAATATAATATATATGTTATATATATGTATGAGAGTCCTTTTGAAACTAATAATCGTGCGAGTATCTTTAACCAAACAAAATAAAAAAATTTTTATAAGTGCTCTAACAAAAAATATTTGTATTTATATTTTTCATTCCTGTTATCGTATAGCAAATATATACAATTACTTATACCACATCCACGCTGTCGTTTAATATTTCAAAAAGAAAAGACAATCGTGGCATCTATTCTAGATGTGATGTCTTACTCTGTTCATTACTTAGAGAATGTGATGAACTGATCTGATTCATCACCTCTCTCGAAAATATTGTCTCCAAACGGGAACTGCTTTCTATGGTTCCGCGTGAGTTTGCTCTATTGGTTAGACTAATTCGACTACAAACCGCACTTCGTCGATTATTTTCACCCATTCGATATGAGTCGTTGGTACCTATTTCCAACTCATTGCCGTTGGCAATAGACCGATCTCCTTCATTGCCCACTATTGCTCGTTCCACAACACTCACCGGTCCATTGTCAACTACTTCTGCACCAGCGCCGTTTTGATTTACCTGGGTGTTACTCTATATAGAAATATGTCAAATAATTAATATTAACCTATCAATTTAGATGATGCCAGTTTACTTACGCGGTTTACGTATTTTTGGTACGCCATGAGTGTGATCACACAAATTATAAGTGTAATTATTAAATATATGGGTTCCTGAATCAACCAATTCAACATGCAAATTATTTTTTCTTTAATACTAATATTGGATAAATAACGGTAAAACTTGTCTAATTTTTTGTCCATTTTAATAATAAATAATTTAAATGAAATTTTTACTAAACCCAAAATATTTTTTTTTTTTTGAGAAACAAAATACGAAACGTTCTCTATTAAGATTTATTTATAATTAAAATTTATTTTGAAAATAAGATTGTAAGTTTTTAAAAAATTTAATATGAAAACTAGATTGAATTTTAATTTTTGATCAATTTTATCAATGTAGATAATAAAAAATCATTTATAATAATTTAGTAACTAATTATAATAAATGCTATACGTATTAGGATACATTAACTGCGGTGTCTATGCCTTAACACTTTTAGATATTTGGAATCGCACAACAGGTACCAATGTTTAAACAATATTAAGACAAAACAACATACCATAGAATGTCTATAACTAAACAATAAACTAAGGATCAGTTATGCTCCTTTATAGATTAGGAGTACTTCTACAGATCCGGTTTCTTGATAAACCGGTTTTTATTAAATTCATTTCGCTGAGTTTTATTTCTTTATCACTTAAAAGATGCTTATCAGTGCGATCTCATTCTCATTCTCATTATTTATTATATGTCGAAAGGACACTATGTTAATTTAGAACTTGGAACTAAATATAATATTAAGTATTATTCATTATACTTTTAGTTCCTAATTACATTTAATAAGCAAAATAAATGTCTGCTGTTATGTCAACTACTATAATTTTGACGGAGGTCTGGTATTCTGGAAAGACTCTTAGGTGAATCATGGCTGGAAAAAAGTTGACAAAATTTGGATTAGAATTACAGTGGAAAAAGAGACATGAGACTTTCAGTCTAGAAAGTCTCTTACTGAGACATGTTATAAAAAAAAGTTTTGAGAAACACTGGAATAAAGTTACGGTGAATTTAACATACTTAGAGATTACCTTAATATAAACTTTGTTATTCAAATACCATAGGCATTAGTTAGAAGGATTTGAAATTCTTTACTATAAACAACATTAAGATGAATGATATACCTGTTTGAAAAGACGTTTAGGTGAAGCTTCATGGCTTGAAAATGATTTGGAAGTACTAGATCACAGAGGTTACCTTAACACGTACTTTGTTAAGACAGAAATATCACATATATGCGATTTTGTTGATCGTTGATAGAGAAAAAGTAACACCAGAAGCTTTTTTAAAAGATTTAAATAAATTATTTACGCATTCAAATCATTTTTTAAGGTTTTCTATTTAAAAGTTAATAAACATATATATGTAAAGTACTTGAAGTGTGAATGTAAAAAGAATAGCTGAGTGGACATACTGATTTCCTCAAAAAAAAAAAAGAAAAAAAGAGAACAAACACCACATTTAAATGGTCCTCAAATACGACAAAAAGCCTGCGGAATATTTTATTTTCGTGCATTGAACTTTTGATGTAAAAATTACTAAAAATGGAACAAAGCTTTTTGGAATATATAAAAATTTGAAATCTTGGCAAAAAGGACTTACTTGAAAGTGTACACAAGGAAACGGAATCATACATCCACGAATGCGGACATTTATTTTCATTATTTAACTATTTTTGTATGAGATTTTTTTCATATAATTTATTTTTTTGTTTTTTTTTTTGCAAACCGTTTGTTGATACTTTATTTGCATTGTATTTTATCTAATTTGTTTTGTTCTTTTTTTCTAGAAAAAAAAGTACACATATATACACAGGATAATTTTTGTTTTTATTTGCTAACTTGCTTACTGCTAACTGCTTACTGCCAGCGTGAATAGTAGTCGGAAAAACGTTTATTGGTGTGTATATGTTTAGCCTTTTTATTCGATTCGAGTTCAATTAATTTCGTGAGTTATCAACATAACGTCAAGCCTGACACGACTTGGCATTTAATAATTTCGCTTTCCACTCTGCACTTGAAATCAACGGAAGCAGCAGATTTCCTTAAACAGACAGCCATTTTGCTTAGAACGCTAGACTGCTAGAATGCTAGAGTGCCAGAGTGCCCCTACATGCCTGTCTGAGGAGAAATGAGCGCTGAACTCAGCACGGTATGTACATATGCGCATATCTTGCTGCTTAGTTAAAGTTTAAGTTGGGGGCTTTCGCATGATATCAAAATAACTTGTCGTTCTTTGTTCACTTGCCAAGGACGCCTAAGGATAATGACTTAAATACGACAAAATCTGAATGGAAAACAAAAACACAAACAAAAAAAAACAAAAAAAAAACAAAAACACAAACAAAAATTTAACAATAAGTGTACAATAAAATTATTCGCCATTATTTCTCTTTTATGTTCATTACATTTTTGTTGTTATTTTTCTATTCCATTTTTATTATTATTATTATTATTTTTATTATACTTACAGTTATATATTTTCACTTTATTTTTTTTTTTTTGTTGTTGTTAATTTCCATTTACGTGTACCGTTGGTTAGCGATTTACTTCCGTTGATTTCCTCACCACATTTCCTTACCGGAATTTTATTTCCTTTTACTGCGTTCGTTTAGCTGAGTTTTGGTTAAGGTTATTTAATTATTTATTTTGTCTATTTAAAGTGCATTAAAGTATTTGATTTAAATTTTCATTTAATTGCAAAGCAAAAGCAATTCGTTTTAAGTAAATCAGCAGCTTTGCAATATGTCTGCAGTTATGGATATGAAGTCAGTGAGAATAAATGTTTCAAGGACCTTCTAATATTTATTTTTTTTTAGGTTTTGTTTTGGTACATGCAGTGCTGTAAGGATGAGAATAAATTATTTAGCATATAAAGGTCATGAACAGGGTAACAGTTGAACTTCAAATATAGTTTAAAATATAATTAGTATAATAAAATAATATTCCAGAATTAACACAATCCAAATCACTTATTAGTCCTCCCTATAACATAAGAGATACCAGGATTGTATGAACCTATCAAAAGAAACATCTCGAATCATCACAGAAATCCCTACAGTTCACTGTAAACTAAAATACCAACTTACAAGAC